TTGTCTATGTTCTGGCTTTATTTAGGTTCTTTTTACTGTAGCTTTCTTTTATTTTGTTATTTTTTTAATTTTTTGAGGGATCGTCAGAAAGAGTTGTTAACTAGTCTCTTTGAGACTAGAGTTTTTATTCAGGAATACGAAACAGGAAGTTCATCAAGAAACCCTTATATTAGAGAGTATATACTAGCCACATATACACTTTTGGTATTTATTTTAAGTTGTCTGCCTATTTCTAAATTCTATACTAGATGCTGTACCTATAACCTAACTACAGATATTATCTATTTAAACCCTCTATAATATATCTCTACCTGTATCACTAGGACATCTCCATTATAGTTATCAGTCAAGAAGTCCTAGATATATACTATACCCTTAGGACTAATTTATCTTTGAATTATCATTATTAAAGCTTTCTATACCTACAATAGCTAACCTAAGCTTCGATAACTTACGCTGAGTCTAAGGACAAGTATTTGCAAGTTGAAGCCACTATCATTACTTACTTCTGCTTTTATAGAGTTCACCCAAACCTCAGTATTCCCTTTCAAGTCTACTCAGTACTTTTCTTTTTTGGTACTACTCTAGTTAATCTTCCTAAATTACCAATTCAGATGGCCTAGAAAAAACACTAGTTCCTTGATATCTGCTTGCGGATTTTTTTCTCTAGTTGATGCTCTAGTAGCCTGATTGATAGAGTATTTTTGTCAGATATCTAGTTCTCATTCAGTTGCATTAACCTTGGGTATATTCTATTTTATTTGTATATTATTTTGAATATATATATATTAATTAGAATATATACATAGGTATTATTTTGAAACAAGTTTCTATTTTTTGATAAACTTAGTTTTCTAAATAATACCAATATATATTTTATATAAATAATTATATATCAGTAAGTTTTTTTTACTAGAGTTAATATTACTTGCATAATAGCAGCACATGGGAATAGTATTAACTTTAGTAAAAAAATAATAAATAGTTATTGCATGCGAAGCATGCAATAACTGTAGTATTTTATGGGTGATCCTGATTGGTCGGTGATCCCAGCCGGTACGGCTGAGACACCGAACAATTAGGAAGAGAATATAAAATATGTAAAGTATCATGTGCTTAAAATCTACTGGCCCTTTCGCTTGCTAGTAAAGTGTGCAAGTATATGATCTGCCGTGAAGCGGCAGATCATGTACTTGCACACTTTTCTAGCAAGCGAAAGGGCCAGTAGATTTTAAGCACATGATATGACAGTTATTGCTGCGTAGCATGCAATAATGGATTTATTTTTTTTTTACGATGATTAGTGATTCAAAAATTAATTAATACGTAATTGTAGACTTTTTGAAACAATGGTATAAATAGATTTTCACCTGATAATCTTTTTTTACTGCTTTTAATACTTTCGCTGTGCCCTAAGAGTATATATTTTAAAATTTGAGGCCTGTGCCTCCTTAATAACAAACCTGAAGTGTTGTGCTCTCAGGTAACATATATTATAATCAATAGTATTATATGTCCAGCCTTTTTAAAGGCTTTTAATGAATCTTGTAATTAGTACCTATAACGAAGATAAAAGTCTATTAGTACCTGTCAACAAAGCTCCAAGTCTACTAATACGCACCTGCCAACGCTTATCCAAGTCCATAGTACCTGCCAACGCTGATCCAAGTCCATAGTACCTGCCAACACTGATCCAAGTCCAAAGTACTTGCCAACGCTGCTTTAACCTGTAGCAAGTTTTTTAGATGGTAGGTTATAATTTAGTATTTGAAGTGAAGTTTTTACTTGTTATTTAATTTAAATTAATTTTACTGGTATGTTAGAAAAAAAGAAAACTATATGCTAAAGGCTGTAGTGATTACTTACCTACCGATACAGAAATTGATGAGATAATCGAGTCTTGCATTCCTGAAAATACTCGTAAGGCTATGAAAAAATGGGTAAAAGCCTTGAATCGGTGGCGAAATAATGTTGGATATTGTTATGGTATTGAAATGATCACTAATAAAGACTAGCTTGAAAAAGAAATGACGGAATTTTTTTGTGGTGTGCGAAAAATTCAAGATAGGAGCGATTATATTTCTTCATCATTAGTTAATGCATATAATTGTTTAAGTAATTATATTTACAAACATCCGGGTGGTAGTGAGAAATTCATAATTAACAATAAAAATGAATTTCCTTTATTGTGGGAAGTTCTTAATGGTAAAATGAAGGTTCTGAAGCAATTCGGAAAGACTACCAAACATCATGATCCATTGTCACCCGATGAATTAAGGACAATATTTAATTATGAGGCTCTGTTGATTAATATGGCTAAAGGTCTTCAAAATCAGGTTTTTATGTGGTGTTGTCTTCTTTTCGCTCCACGTGGTGGTGAACATAGTCAAATGAAAATTACACAATTCACTTTTCTTGACAATGGAGGAATTTGGTTTACAAAATTTTCTCAAAAAAATGATCCTGGTGGTATCGAAGGAAATTTGGATTCGCTTATTATACCAGTACCAGCAGATCCAGAAGGATATTTGGGGTCTGTTCATGATATTAAGCTTTATTTAAGCAAAAGACCCACAAATTGTGCATGTCAATTCCTTCATCTTAAAATTAATAAAAATATTCATGGTATTTTGTAATGTTATTTTTTTTTTTAATTAATAAATTACATATGTAACTTACAATTATTTAATATAGAATACGAAAATAGTAAATGGTATCTTGATGCTAAATTGGGGTTAAATTTGTGCAGTAATTTTATGAAAAATATTTGTTCTCAAGTTGGGATAAACCTCAAAGACCGTAATATCATTAATCATTCGGGAAGAACCACACCAATTACACACTTATTTCGTGAAGGCATCCTGATTGTTACTTCAATGTCAATAACCGGTCACAAAAGCAAATCATCCTATTGTATATATTCACAACCAAGTGAGCAGCAGAAAAAGGATGCATTGTCTACATTAATTGACGTTGTTGATCTTCCGGAATCTCAAAATAAGGAAGATAATGATGTCGTTGATGATTCTTTAAATTTAAACTTATAAATTTATTTTATTTTAGAGGCCCGATAACTATCCGGATTCCCATATGCAACAAAAAAGCACAGTATATTCTGAATTTCGTAGCCCTTTAAAAAATAGTACAAAGCTGAATTTGCCTCTTCACGTCAATGCGACCAAAAAAAATCCAACTCTTGGTGGAAAAAGGCTGTTGCAGTCATCACAATCTGGTTTGCAAAATGCATCTAATAATGGGCAAGATACTACGATCATTAATAATTATTATTTGAATGGCGATCATATTACAATTAATCAATATTGAATTATAATATAATTTACATAAATTGAAAAAACTAATTATAATAAAGCAATTTATATAGCTTTTTCTTTGCTATTTTTTATATTTGTCTTAATATAATTCTTTGTACACTTATGACAATTTTGAAAAAATGCCATTATTCATAAAATATAGATGTGACGTATCATAAAATTGCCGTTATTCATAAAATATAGATGTGACGTATCATAAAATACAGAGATTACCATAAAATAACTAATTTATTTATGATTCTGATCATAGTAAAAAAAAAATAAAAATCAATATTTTTTTTTATTTACCAATATTATAAACTTAGATAATTATTTAATAGAATATATCACATATTACTAAAAATTAGTATAGAAAATTAATTAGTTGAAAAAGAGAGTAATCAGTTAGACACAAATTATTATATGAATTTATTTAACTATCAAGTTTATAATTATCTCTTTTCTATTTTAGTTTTCATTTTTAATTTGTTAATAATATCTCACAGCTATCTAAAAAAATTCTTTATTTATTACAAAATAGAAAATTTTATATTATAATTTTATTAATTAATTGTCTGAAACATAGCAGAGAACTTAAAATTATACAATGTCTATTAATAGTAGCTAATTAATTTTTTAGATCAAGTAATATAATATATTTTTGCAGATTTCTAAAAAACAAAAATATGATATCTAATCAAATTGTTTAATACAATAGTATAATACTTTGAATATTTATTAGCACCTGATATCTAGTTTATAAAGAGTATAATACAATTTAGAAAATATGAGAGCTTTTCAATAGAAAGGAGTAAGATTTTTTCTAAATAAAAGTTTTTTAAACTTTAAATTAAAATATCTTAATAGGACAATTATATTCATAATACTGTGTTATATAACACCCTATGCTATCCTTTAAACTGCCTAGCAGCTAAATATACTCGCTAGAATATTTTTTTATATTTTTTTATAATTGCTTAAAATTTTATTAAGAATATATACTCTTATTTCTAAGCTAAAATAAAAATTTGAGATATTTTTAATTAATCATCTGTAAAATTTATAGTTTAATTTTA